AGGCAGCTTTCTGTTTTATAAATGCAGACTTCTGTTTATTGAATGAAGCATATCTCAGTGTTTGTCTGTCAGGTTTTGAAACATTTCATATATGTCCAAATACTTGGCAGGATTAAAAAAAAAAAAAAATAGTGAATTTGGTGTAAAGTTGCTATTTTATGGAAATGCCTCCAACTTTACATTTTCATTCCATCTGTAGATTTTTCTATCTTTATAAAATATTGGAGTTATTTTTTAAGGAAAAATAGAGAAGTAGCTTGTGAATAGCTCAAACTAAGGTTACAAATCGCATGTAAAAAAAAAAAAGCAAAAAAGTTATTTGTGTCTGTTTATATCGCTTCCTTTTTTGTAGCCTTTGTACCTGTACAGGGTGAGTGCTGAGGGCCAAGCAGGAGAGACGTAAGCCTTGTATAAAAGAGGAGCCAGCGACTTTCTTGTATTTATCGGTTTTCTTTTTAGTCAGTCACTTAAAAAAAAAACAAAAAACAAAAACAAAAAAAAGAAAAAAGAAAACCCACAAAAAAACAAAAAAAAGCTGTACATTTTAACATAAAATAAATTATGATGAGCCATTTTTAGCCTCTTGTGTCCTGTCATATTATGATTGATAGAGAATGACAAATTGAACTGTATCATCTGTCACACCTCAGAACACATACACATTTTGGGAAAATAAATTATTTAGTGTAAATTGGAGCTATGAGGTTTTTCTGATTTGTTTTGACTTTGGGGGAGGGGTTGGCAATAAATAAGAGTACTATCTAATAAAACCATCACATATACCAAATACTTATTTAATAACTTAATTTATAATGGATTTTAATGCTTTTCATGAAAGTTTATTTTATGCGAGTGCATACCTTCTGTATGCCAATCATTGTCTTTAAAATAAAGTGAATTTGTTTTTTTCTTTTGGACTTTGATCTTCATTTGCAAAGGACTCCCGCACAAATATCAAATTGTCTCTGTTTGCAGCCTTGTACAGACACCCCTCAGCCCTAATGCCGTGGGAGCAAACTTCCTGTTCATGAAGACTAATCTGGAAAAGCACCCAATTTGGGATTGTATGTTTAAAAATCATTTTCTTTAAAAAGGTGTGAAAGTTTTGCTCTGTTGTGAATGACTCTGTTTTCTTTAGAATCTAAAATTTAGACATAACAAACAGTGAATGTTCACATGTATTTATTTTATGGTGTACAGAGAAAGTTCTGCCTGAGTGCTAAGACAGTTGATGATTCAAGAGACAAGTGTAGAAATGAGTGCTTGACTTGGCACCCAGGTGAAACCCACAAGTTAACCTCTCAGCGTGGTTTCACTGGGGCCTTCACAACCCTCCTGGGAAGCAGCCAGATATTTTTATGCCTCTTAGGAAAAAGAAAAATCCTTTTTCATCCGTGGTTCCACACACACACACATCAGGTGTTGAACAGATCAGAAATGGCACACCTTAAAATGCACTCAATAAAACTCTGAAAGGTCAATAAACACAGGCATGGGAGAGAGGCTGCCCACCTGGGGTTTGCCTTGTGCCCTGAAGAGTTTTCTGTCAGAGGTAGGAGGACGCATACTGGGCGTGGTCTCCAGATTCGCCCTGTACAGTTCCTTCCCTGTATAGCTGCAAAGTCAGTTGTGGCTGGAGGGTGAAGTAGTTCTCACCCATCTTAGGTGGGAAGTGATGAACTTGGAAGTGATATGTGGGGTTCGTGTACTGCTTGTGTGAATCGACTCCAGCATCATTTCAGGAGCAGCTAAAGAACTGGACAGTCCATTGGGTCCACACATCAGGAAAGAGGCAGCCAGAGCCTGGGAGGCCGGGTGGAACAGGGCCTGCTAACCTCCCACTACGAACCTTCCACAGGTCCACGGGACTTGTCTCAACCCTTGGAGGTTCAACCTATTCCCTTTCCTCTCGTGTGAAGATCCTGTGGGAGCTGAGCTTCCCCTTCTGTCTTTTCTCAAGCCGTGCCTTGCAGATCACAAACTCCGGTTGTGTGATCTCTGAGCTTCTTGGGCCCCACACCATGCATGCTTCACAGTCTTCTAGGGAACCTGGGGACCAGCCCTAGTCACTGCCCTAGATCTGCCCAGGGATGCTGCAGCGTAGTCAGGTGTAAGTGTTCCTCTGCTGACCCAGGGCCCCAACACTCCTTGAGGGAACAGAAAGGTTAGTCGGAACTGACCTCAAATGACATGCGCTTTTCCGTACAAGGCCACACTCACTGGTCAGACTTCAAGTGACACCAGAGTCCTGAAACCACGAAGTTGGATTTATATTGTCATTGTTAGGTTGAGATTTCAATTAGGTCACATCTTTAAAGATGGTAAAGTATTCTTGGCACTCCTGCTGTGTGGTGCTGTAGGATCAGCACTGGACAGCGAGAATCACAAGGTTGGCAGTTCAAACCCACCAGGTGCTCCTCGAAACAAGGTTGCTAAGAGTCAGAACTGACTAGACGGCACTTAGCAACAATGCATTATTTGAATGAGTCCTAGTGACTCAGTGGGTAGACACTCAGCTGCTGGTAACCAAAAAGTTGCTGGTTCGAACCCACCAGCCACTCCAAAGGAGAAAGACGTGGCAGTTTGCTTCTGTCAAAATAGCAATCTTGGAAACCCTATGGAGTACCTACAAGGTTGCTCAGAGCCAGAATCAAACTCCTAAAAGGTTTATGTTTTTGTGTTTCTTGCTTTGTGAGGAGCTTTGGTAGCATAGTGGTAATGAATCGGGCTGCGAACCGCAAGCTCAGCAGTTCAAAACTACCAGTGTTCTGTGGGAGAAAGATGAGGCTTTCTGCTCCCATAAAGATTTACAGCCTGGGAAACCCTGTGCAGGGTCGCTAGGAGTTGGAACCAACTCTAACACATGTAGAGTCGTAACAAGTGGATGTCAATTGCTAGCCTTCACTTTTTAAAAGGTGCCTACCTAGGTGTGGCACTGTAGGTTAATTTGAAACCCTATACAGGGTCACTATGGATCGAAACTGAATCAGTGGCACTTAACAACAACCCAGATGTGAAGGAGTCCTGGTGTGGCGCTGTGGGCTAATGCGTCAGACTGCAAAGTAGTTTGAACTGCAAGGTCGGTGGTTCAAGCTCACCAGCTGCTCCTTGGAAACCCTATACAGGGTCACTGTGGATCAGAATCAACGCGACGGCACTTCACAACAACAAACCCAGGTGTGAAAGGAGCTCTGGTAGCGTAGTGGTTACAAGTCGGGCTGCTAACTTCAAGGCAACAATTCAAAACTACCAGCTGTTCGGTTCCGCGGGTGCTCCCATAAAGATTGTTAAGTGCTGTAGAGTTGATTCTGACCCATAGCAACCCTGCACAAGGTTTCCGAGGCTGTAAATCTTTACGGGAGCAGAGAGCCTCATCTTTCTCTCTCGGAACAGCTGGTAGTTTCGAACTGCTGATTCTGAAGTTAGCAGCCCGATTCGTAACCACTATGCTACCAGAGCTTTGGAAACCCTATACAAGGCGGCTATGAGTCGGTGCTTAACACCCATCTTCCACTCTCCTCCTGCTGACGAGCTGTTCCTCAGACTCCCCCTGCGCTTTGCCTCCCTCAGTTCTACACCTAGAACACCTCTTCCTCATTACAAAGGCTCTGCTCCTTCAAATCACAGCTTACCTGTCTCTGAGAGGGCTTCCTGGCCACGCCCATCTCAGGTGAGTTTCTCTCCCACCCCTCCCCCATTGTTCTGAACACAACACTCAGTTTCCTATGGTTTCACTTCGGGCCTTCTCATCCAGATCTTGCCACCTGGTAGGTTCTCAGTAAATACTTGTTGACAAAATGAATTTTTTTCTCTCATAAGAGCTAAGAGCACTTTTACAAAAGCTTCTGTTCCCCCTTCCGCCTACCTCTGGCTCCCAGACTTGAAAAGTTCTGATTCTTCTGCCCTCTGCAGGATTCAGTCCAACAGTAAAGCGCTGATGTGGTGCTGTGGGATAAATCCACCAGCCATCCTTGAAAACCCTACACAGGGTCGCTATGAGTCAGAACCAACTCCATAGCACTTAACAAGACTCCTCCTAACTTGCTAACCACAGGTTGGCAATTCAAACCCACCAGCCACTTGGCAGGAGAAAGGTAAGGCTTTCTGCTCCAGTGGAGATTTATAGTTTTAGAAACTCTATACAGGGTCACTATGAGTTAGAACCGACTCAACAACCCCTAACAAGAGACTCCTGGGCCAAAGGGACTATCCCAGGGTAGGCCCAGGCAGTCCCAGGAGCCAGGGCTAGCCACAGAAGCCCACTGGCCTCCCGACTGGCAAGGAAGCAGCCACTCTCCAATGGTCACAGGTGACTTGGTGATGACGCTTTGAGTCCCCTGGGCACTATCCTCCCTCCATCAGCAACTCATGCCTTCATTCTCTGAAAAAACAATACTCAAGCGGAGTAGAGAAATGGGCTCTTCTGTTGTTTCCCCAGTAGACCTTGATCTCACTCTAGATAGGGAACTCAGGACCCCCACTTCCCACCCCAACCAAGTGAGTCACTTTGCGCAGCAGCATCTGGAGATGGTGACCCACACCCGGGAAGTCCATAGAAAAGATACCACTGAATGCAGAGGACTTTTGAACAAATGGGGGCTGCACAAAGCAGGCAACACAGTGCTCCCAGATGTTTATCCATGGTTACAAAAATCATTTCTATTTCAAAATTATTTTTATAAGAACATAACTTTCTTTTTAGACAAAATCAAATCTTTGATCACAGCACAATGCCTATGTATCTCAAAATCCATTCTGCTTCCATCTGACTTTAAGGAAAGCAGTCTGTCTGTCTTGGCTGAACCTGGTGCTCCCAGCAGTCAGTTGTGCCGGGAAGCCTGGCTCACCCATTTTACTGTGAAACCATATACCTGAGTCCTTCAACAGGCAGCTTCGAATCCCCTGTTCCTCAGCCCACATTGGGGACTGTTGGGAAGAAATCAAGCTTTGATTTCACTGTCCCTTCTGCATGACAAACGAAGTCACAGGACCGATTCTGCTCACTGTGTCTGCCAGCTCCTCATCACTGTCACTGGCAGGCGGGCGTTCTCCCCAGCACCAAGCTCGGCCTGTCGTCTTTGCTGCATCAGCTGCTTGTCCAGCTCTCGGAGTTGCTTCAGAAAGCCCCGGTTGGGGAGGACACAGCGGTTCTTGGCCACTTGCTGGATGGCATCCACCAAGGTCATGCATCTGTGGATCATCAGGTAGGCCAAGACCAGGGTTGCCGACCGGCTGCGGCCCATGGCACAGTGAACCAGGATCTTATCTGCAGATGGAGTGAGGAGAAGCAAGAGCCACACTGAAGAGCAGGGTTGGCAGGGTAGTAATGAACACATACAGGGGGCTCAGGCCCACCTGCTCAAATCCTGATCCCCTCACTATGGCAGGACCCTGGAGGACAAAGTACTTCATGCTGTACAACCTCAGCTTCCCCATCTGTAAATGGTGAATAGGATCAGCATCTTCTTCGCAGAGTGCCCATGAAGCTAATTTGTATGAAACGCTCAGCACATGTCTTAGCGTGTATACTAAAACCCAAAAAGAGCCAAACCCATTGCCAGTGAGGAAATTCTATAGGCCAGAGTAGAACCCCCCTCTCTCCCCCCCACCCCACACACAAACACAGGGTTTCCAAGGTTGTAAATCTTTATGGATTCAGTCTGCCACACCTTCCTCCTGGTGAGCAAGTTCCAACTGCTGATTTTTCAGTTAGCAGCTGAGCTCTTAACCAGTGCTCCACCAGGCTCCTCTGGCACATCCTACAGGGCCAATCAGCAGCACATTATTATTGTGACCTCAGTATGGACAAGGACAGAGCCATGAAATTGGTGCTGTCTGTTGGGCTAAATCCTCTAAGTGAGGATTTCTGTATGACTACTGAGGAAGGCGGTTTCTGCAGGGTGGTTTTGTTTGGATTGAATTCATTATCTTTTGAATAGGGAAGTCCTAGGGCTTCAAATTTCCAAAGGTAAGAAAGGATGTCCAGTGAAAAGCCTCCTTACCACCCAGTTCCTGGGTTCTCAGAAACACCGATTCTTACTCATTTCTTCTCCTAGAAAACAGCCTGTGTATGCATATTGCAAAAATAGAATTTTTTCTTCTTCTCCCGCTCAAAGAGTACCCAGCTTTGTACACTTTTCTATAATTTCCTTCTTCCATTTGACAAGATACCTTGGAGATCTTTGTGTATCCGTATGTGAAAAACTTTCTCATTTGTTTGTTTTTCTTGTGGGTGCATAGAGTTCTTCTGTTTGGATTTGATTCACAATCCCCTTTAAATAGGAGGCGTTCCCTGGAAGACCCTGGAATGACCACCCCATGCATGGGCTGGAGACAGGAACACAGGTTGTCTCGTACTACTTGCAGTGCTGAGGCTGAGCAAAGAGCAAACTCCCCACAGTTTCAGACTGTATGATCCTGAGCACCACCGGGAGGGAGGGACGTACAATCTGCTCATATCCAGCCCAGGAACATCCACATGACCACAGCAGCCTGGGGGACCTCGCCCCTCTTGCAAACCTGGGTTCCAGCTCTTGGCTCAGCTACTAAGTGCTGACCAGCCAGATGTCAACCTCTGGAGCCTTAATTTCCTCAACTGTCAAATGCAGTAGTAAATCAGATCTGTAGTGAACCAAACAGTCCAGTAAAAATCACTTGGTCAGAGTTTTAAATCAATGAAACACCATTTTAACTTGAAAGAATAAATGATAACAAAAACTATGACTCTTCAAGTTCCTTTTGACTCATTTAGTCACTTCAAAGAAAGCAACATACAGTATTTGTTACAATCTTCTTAGCAAAAATGAGAACTTTGGAAAACTTATTTCTAGCACCATGAGTCTGATCGTTTTCTGATACTTTAAGATCCTTCTGATAAGATCAGTGGTTATATGAGCAAATGTGATATTTTTATAATGTAGAATGAAAAATGTCAACATTTGGAAGACCTGCGTAACTTAATGGACCAATATCTTCTAAATGACTGATGCAGGATGCTAAAAATCATGCCTGGGTAAACGGTCCATTTAAAGTACAAGATAAACCAATGGATTATACTCTAATAAGAGTATGAAGTTTATTGATACAGTTTCAGATTCCACCTTGCAACTAACCTTGAAGAAACTAGCACTTGTCAAGTTTTGGGGTACTATTAAAGAACAATATCACCAATTAGCTAAAAATACTCCCCCTTTTTTCCAGCTACATATCTGAGTGATATCAGATTTTCTTCATATACATCAATAAAAACAACCTATTTCCCAACAGACTGGATGCAGAAGCAGATATGAGAACCAAATGAATTCAACCTAACATTAAAGATTTATAAAAAGAGTAAAACAATGCTAGTCTTCTCCCTAATTTTATTTTAGAGAATAGATCTTTGTTTTATATGAAAAAATGTGTTATTATGCTAATATGCAATAGCCTTAATATTTTTAAAGGAATAAATATATTTTTAACTCTCAGATTTCATTTCTCAAATGGGGTAAGCATTGGTAGATATAATCCATATAAACAAAAGCTCTTTGAGGTCGTCAATAATTATTAATACCATAAAGGAGTTCTGAGACCAAAAATTTTAAACCAGAGATGTAAAACAATACTCACTGGAAAAAAGTTCTCTTTGGCCACTACGATATTAACAGCTAAACTCAGTTTAAAAATACAGTGTGAAACCCAGGCCCCCATATTGTGACACCTAGCGCCTACATAATGACCAGCATGCCATGTCTCCTGTCATCTTTCATAAGGCCCCTCAAGGTTCCAACATCAGCACCCTTGCTTCTAGGTGGGGAAACAGGCCCAAGCTGAAATGACTTACCAGACAGTCACACAGAAAACTAGTAGTACCAGCACTAGAAATCATTCAACGCAACATATTACAGCCACTGACCATGTACTAAGGCCTAGGGACAGAGAAAGTAATGAAGTTCGGGTTTTTGGCCATGCCTCCAACTGCTACCACCACAATCCCAAGGGTCTCTCGTTCCCGCACTTGTGGGATCGCGTTGCTTGGATCGTACTGGCCTCAGCAACTTAGGCTATGTGCCCCCAATGCTGTCCCTGTCCCCAAGTCTCAGGCCTCCGGCCTGGACGCCTGAACGAATGACCAAGAAGATGCTCACGACACTGATGAAGCATCAGCAGGTTATGAGAACAATTTGTCAAAGAGCATTTCTAAATGGACTGTGGCTCTGCTTTGTCCCTGTCATCCCAGCCCCTCACCTTTCTCATGAGACTGTCCTCACATCAACATTGAAAACCAAACACTGATACACACAGGAAAAACAACAGAACACAGAGCGAGAGATGGACAGTGAAGGGACATGCCCCGCCCCGCTCCCATGTGCACATGCGTACTGGCGACCTGCGTCTCTCTTGAAACGCAGAATTGACTCCCAGTGGAAGATGGGTGCCGGAAGTGGGTCAGTTCCGCAGAGTCCAGCCGGAACCGAGAGTCCGAGGCCCTCCAGGACTCACCTCAGTGCCTCTCAGCACCCACAGTGGCCACAGTGAGGTGCTTGATGTTGTTGGTAAGTGCCATTGAGTCAGTTCTGACAGAAAGCGACCCTGTATAGGGTTTCCAAGGAGCGGTGGGTGTGTTTGAACCGCCAACGTTTCCGTTCAGACTGACCTTGTGGTCTAGTGCATCATCCTACAGTGCCACACCAGGTGCTTGTTGTTAAGTGCCATCGAGTCGGTTCTGACCCGTAGCCACCCTGTATAGGGTTCCAAGGAGCGGCTGGTGAGTGTATTAACCCGCAGAGCCAGAGTAACTGCTAATTTTAGCATAGAGTCCCTGTTGGTCCGACTCCTAGTGACCCTCTATAGGGGTTCAGAGGAGCTGGGGTAGACTAGTGGGCTATTTGTTGGGTTGCTAACCACAAGGTCACTAGTTCAAATTTATCCGCCTTTCCACAGGAGAAAAATGAGACTTTCTGCCCCATAAAGATTTACAGCCTCGGAAACCCTATACAGCAGGGGTGGGGAACGTCTGGCCCTCGGGCCATATGTTGTTGTTAAATGGCTGGAGTCGGTTCTGACCCATAGTGGACCCGTATAGGGATTCTGGAGAGCAGCTGGTGAGCTTGAACTGCCGACCTTGCAGTTTAAACTGCTTTTGCAGTCCAGCTCAGTAACCCACAGCGCCACACCAGGACTCCATACAGGCCATCACATTGTTGTTGTTGTTGTTAAGTGCCATCGAGTCGGTTCCGACCCATAGCGACCCTGTACAGGGTTTCCGAGGGTGTAAATCTTTACGGGAGTAGAAAGCCTCATCTTTCTCCCGCGGAGCGGCTGGTAGTTTCGAACCGCTGACCTTAAGGTTCGCAGCCCGATTCGTAACCACTATGCTACCAGAGCTCCTTGGCCATCACATTAGGGGTGAGTTAATTAAATGTTTAACCAAATATAGCAGGCTAATTTTTAAGTTGATAATTTTGTATGGCCCACGAATAGTTATAAATTTTTCCAGATAAGAGGTTCCCCACCCCTGCTTCACAGGGTGCCTACGAGTCAGAACCAATTGCGCGGCACATAACCACCGCCACAATAGGGTTTCTGAGAAGCGGCTGGTGAGTTTGAACCACAGCCCTTGCAGGGAGCAGCCCAATGTGTATCCTGCAGTGCCACAGCAGACTCTAACGGGGTACAGATGTTTAAGTGGTTGATTAATAGTTGGTGGTTCAGTCCCACCCAGAAGCACATTGGAAGGCAGGAAGCTGGCTTCTAAAATGTCTCAACCTTGAAAATCCTATGAAGCAGGGTCTCTTCTGAATATAGAGCGTCACCAAGAGTTGGAATGGACTTGGTGGCAACTAACAACAACAACTTAGCACATTTCCTTTTTACTAACCTCCCTAAACTCACCAGGCCACCTCAAGTCCTATTCTTCCTAAGTGCTGAGCTCCCAAGAGTAATTCTGGGCAGGAAGTACACGGCTGTACTTCTTTGTTGCTGTGTTGAGCTTGGGGAGACTGGCCCCAGGGTCTTCCCGACATGCCTGTGCCCCTGGGATGTGGAAAGTTTGGCCGGATGAGCGTGAACCTCTGGCATTCTAATCCGAACCTATGGCTCCAGAGGCTGTCTGGCCCCCTGCCAGCTCTGCTGATAACTAAAGCATTTCTTCCTCTCCTGGCAAAAAGGGTAATTCTTTCGGTCATGAGTAAAGACTTGAAACAGAAGACAGCTGTAGTTCATTAAGCCTTTTGGGAGCCTGAAGTCTGTTAAATTGGGGGCTGGGGAAAGAGGACTGTGCTGTTG